ATTTATGTCTTGTCTTAAGGATTTTATGCCTGTTATTAGGGATTTTTTAAAAAGTTCTTATCCTGACATAGTTTCCAGTATTGAAATAAAATGGAAAACATAATCCTGTTTTTATATAAAATCTTGCTTAAAATTTGGCAGTTCTTCAAAAAGTTAAATATAGAATTACTATATGATCCAGCAATTCCACTCCTAGCTATATATCCAAGATTATTGAAAACACATGTCCTCATAAAAACCTGTACATGAACTGTGCGTTCATAATTATACTGAAGTGGAAACAGCCTAAAAGCCCATCAACTGAAATGTACATGTGCAAAATGGAATACTATTTAGTCATAAAAAGGGATGAAATACAGTCAACAAAACAGACGACTGCATGGCCACATACACATACATGACACAGGCAAAATCACAGAGTTGTTGAGGGGATTAGTGGCTGCCAGGGGTTGAATGAGGAAAGTGGGGGAAGGGGGGAGTAGGATAAAAAACAACTGTTACTGGGTACTTGGTTTCTTTATTGGATAACAAAAACATCATAGAATTAGAAAGTGGTAAAAAAAAAAAAAAAAAAAAAAGAATTAGAAAGTGGTGATATTTATATAATTTCCCAAACACAGTAAGAACCACTTCATTATTTTTCTTTTTTAAAAAAAATGTATTTAGTACAGGGTCTACAGGGTCTCACTACACAGACTGGACTCACAGTGATCCTCCTGTTTTCAGCTTCCCAAGTGCTGGGATTACAGGGACACACCGCCTTGCGCAGTCTCAGTTGCCCTCTTAGTGCTCCTTGGGGGTGGGGCCAGCTAGGCAGATGCAGCCAGGGATCAGCAAGAACTACTTTAAAGCAGCAGATTTTATGGTATGTGAATTATATCTCAATTTAAAAAAAAAAAATTAAAGATAGGGCCGGCCAAATAGCTCAGCGGATTAAAGTGCCTACAAGTAGGTTCAGGGGCTGAAGGGTTCGATCCCTGGGCCTGCCATGCCGGCCCCATCCCTGGGGCACAGTGAGACAGCAACTGAGACTGGGCAGGTGGTGTGCACCTATAATCCCAGCTCTTGAGAGGCTGTAAACAGGCAGATCACTACGAGTCTGATCTAGTAGTGAGACCCTGAACACCCTGTAGACCCTTCCCTAAATAAAGAATTCTGTTTTAAAAAGAATTCCCCCCCCCCTTTTCTCCTTCAGACTTATCCTGGAACAATAACCTGGCCTTCGAGAAGCATCTTTCATGTTATGCTGAGACTTGTATATGGCTGGCAAAGTCTTATATTTCACTCAACAAATAGCAATTATGGAGCACAGGAGCAGGGTGATGGGAAGGCACAGAATTTCTGAAAGTACATAATGGAAAAACCAGTCCCTACACCCCTGAGAGCCCTCCTCAAAAATGGGGAAGGGGCATTTCACCGAAGTAAACGTGCAGCGAAAACTTCGCTAAGGGCAGCCTACCATTCCTCCCTTCACTCAAAGAAATGAGATCTTCCTGAATCCCTCTCCATAAATATTAAACTTACATTTTCAAAATGTTACTGAGCATTATTGGTTTCAAATGTTTTCATACTGAAAAGCTGGGGACAGAGTTCAGTGGCAGAGCAATTGCTTAGCATGGGGCAGGTCTAGATTCCACCCACAGCACCACACACACACACACATTTCTGTACTTAGAAACATATTCACAGTGGTTCTGGAATCTTAGGAATTCCTCTTTTTTTTTTTTTTTTTAATATTTATTTATTTATGTGTGTGTGTGTGTGTGTGTGTGTGTGTGTGCGTGGCCAGCTCAGCCCACCAGGGGGCAGGGCTGGCTGGCATGTGGTGCTGGGGGATTGAACCGCGGTCCCTGTGCTTTGCTAAACTTGTTGTAAGTAGGTGCTTTAGACCACTGAGCCATCTCACCAGCCCAGGAATTCCTCTTTGAGTGGGAAGTCTCACTCCTTTTTGAGTGAGTCTCATTATATAGTTCAGGCTAGCTTTTTTTTTTCAGGCTAGCTTTGAACTCACAATGTAACCCAACTTCACCTTGCACTCAGGGCAATCCTGTCTCAGTCTCCCAAGTGCTGGGATTACAGGCATGTGCCACCACACTGGGCTAAAGGAATTATTATTTTCATTGGCTTTCGCCTGGTTTTCACCTCTACAGACCGAACATCCTCACGGCTTGGGTGGTCTTCCCAGGGCAGCCATCCCAACCCTATCACCTCAACCTCCCAGCAGTGGGCTCCTCACCTTGCAAGGTCAGCCCCCACACTGAGCACCCACGTTTTACATAAACACAGGGTCATGCTGTCCATGTTATTTCCAATATGGTAAAGTATCACAACGCTGCGTTGGAAACACAATGAGAATGGAGCATACATCAAGCTCTGAACTCTACGTGCAGAAACCTTCTGTGGTTCCAATTGCTTCCTTGGCTCTTCTGTGGGGCTATTTAAAAGCCAGCCAATTGACAATGAAAGCACGTGGCTTCTCTGTTCATAGTCACATGTTAACACTGACTCTGTGTTACATCCACCTCTTTCTTCAACTAAATCCCCCAAAATGAGGATGGCTGTCACAGAGCGTTCGGATTTCCTGAAGAGAACCCTACAGCCTTTGTGAGTCTTCTAGATTCAGAGTTCCAGAAACGCAAGCCAGATACCTCCATGGATGGTGACCAAACCTATAAACCGTTGAGGAGTGTGAATTGTGTCCTTATTTTCAAGGACTATTGAAGGAGAACAGCACACAAGTAAAAACAAGTTATAACTGTAGAAAAATGGAAAATATGAATATCTGTAAATAGAAAGGGTAGAGTAAAAATAAGAACGATAGTGTTAAGGAGGATGGTTTTTCTAAAATTTCTCTTAATCTACTGCTCTACTGTTAATGTGGTAAGAAGGGAGACACAGAATTGACACCAGTGGGAGGCTATTCCAGTAACTACAGGAATATATTAGCTGATCACCATCCCACAAAGAGCTCTGAGGGTTCCTGCCTCCTTAGCCTGCTGTTCACTGCACCAAGCAGCTGGGTGCCACACATGGTAAGGAGATTTGTAAAATCCTACCTTCAGCTCTAATCCCTGAGTAGATGATCTAGCAGTTTGTGTTTTTCTATCTGGTAGAGCCTACTTACACTCTTCTTTGGTCTCCTAGTTTTAAGGCAATATCAAATATTTGTTGAATATATGATAGTTCAGCTAATTCTGAAAAAACACATGGTGTGGAAACAGAGAATAAACCAGGCATAGCAGTGTACACCTATAATCCCAGCACTCTGGGAAGCTGAGGGAAGAAGATCACAAGTTAGAGCCTAGCCTGGGCCACTTAGCAACTTAGTGAGACCTTGTCACAAAAGAATAAAAAAAGTTTGGGGACGTTGCTCTGCGCTAAGGCCCTGGGTTCAATACCCAGCATTACAAAAAAAAAAAAAAAAAAAAAAAAAGTAAGTTAGAACAATAGCTACAACAATGGGCTTTCCTGAGTGTCACCAAGTGCATCACTGCACCAAACCCGCTCCTGGGGCACCGAGCCTCCAACTTATACTTGTACCTGCAGCTCTGGATGTGACTCTTTCAAAATAGCACTTTTACCTTTTGAAAGTTCTTTTGTACAGAGTCTCATAAAAACTTCTGAACAAGCCAAAAGAAATGAGGGCCCCCAAAAAGGGGGGGATTTGGAAAGATCAGCCCCCTCTCAACAGTATGATCCTTTCCAACGTCACCACATGCACATCAAGCCTCCACAGCAGGGGTGGGGAACTAGAAACAACCAAGGCTGTAGGCAGAGGCCTGGGAAAGGCACAGATCTGCCACATACATACTGAGAGGCCTCAGCAGCTGGTTTCCTCATGCTATGGCGATTCCAGCTCCCTCGGAGTAGGCCAGCCTTTGGCACTTAGCAGGTATACAGAACTTGTTAGGTTCTTCACATTGCCATCACCTCTAGGGCTTGCAGGGGCTCAGGGATCACAGAACAAAATATCCCTCTCCAAAAGTTTGTCCCTTCAGAATGCCACTGCGTCAAAAGGATGTTGCTGACACAGAGAAATACTTTTTCCAAAGTGCAATACTTTTCTGGAACAAATTAAATTAACTAGAGGCAAATTCATCAGCATTCTCCCAGAAAAAAAAAAAAAAAAGGAAAAAAACCAATAGCACTACTCATACAGGTATAAAGAGCCCAAATGTCCATCCTGGATGAGTAGATAAATAAATGTGGGGAATACTACAGAGGAGTATCATTCCACTTTAAAGAGAGGGAAATCTGCCACCTGCTACAATAGGGCCAAACCTTGACAGTGTTATGCTAAGTGACACCTACAGACATATGATTGCACCAATTTGCTTACAAGAGGTACCTAGCACAGTCAAGCTTAGAGATGGAGTGGGAGACGGGTTATCAGGCTGGCGAGAAGAGGGAATAAGCAGCAGCTGCCTAATAGACAGTTCCTGTTTGGATGAAGAAGTTCTAGAACCAGAGGATGGTGATGACACACAGGATAGTAAACTACACTGTCTGCATAAAATGGTTAGCATGCGCCTGATGCAGCAGTGCCCAGCTGTAAGCCCAGCCCCTGAGGCACAGGGGCTCACTAAGGAGAATTACAAGTTCAACACCAGACTGGAAAGTTGGGTGTGGTGGCGCACACCTGTAATCCCAGCATTCGGAAGGCTGAGACAGGATCGCTACAAATTTGAGGCCAGTCTGGGTTATTATATAGTGAGCGTAAGGCCAGCCTGCAATATACAACAAGACCCTGCCTCAATAAACCAAAAGAAAAAAAGAGTGGATGTAGCTCAGGGACAGAGTATGAGGCTCAGTAATATGTACACAGGAGGTTAAAATGGTAAATTTTATGCTACATTAATTCTCCCACACTTTTCAAAAACAGCAAAGATCCATACACAGATGGCTGTACTCTGTCTCCCAGGTTTGGAGCCTCTGCTCCCCACGCTCGCCATGGGCCTCCCTAAACCCGGAATGCCCAGCCCAGCCTAAGGGTGACTCACCAGGCCGGAGGTCCACAGCCACCTCCTGCGGAGCCATCTGAATGACATCCATGCCCGCGGTACTGGAGCCCTTGCTGCTGAGAGGCAGGCTGCGAAGGACCCATGCGCTGCTGGCCGGACTCTCGATCTCACCACCACAGCCGTTCTGGAGGAGGTTCACCCTCAGGTCACACCGGGAGGTGACTGATCGCGAACTGCCAAAGACCTGGGTGGAAAAAGAGGCACAGGCAGGAGCTGTTAGGGCTTCTGTCCAGCACATCTCCACATTCCATTTGTACTGCTGAAGCTGGAGACACTGATAATCCCCATCCTAAATGCTTCAGGTTCTAGATGAGAAAGCATCTGTAAACCACAAGTACTTGCTAAAAATGTCCAGTTTTAGCTGGATATGATGGTTCATACCTGTAATCCCAACACTCTGGCAGACTGAGGCAAGAGGATTCCAAATTTGAGCCCAGCATAGGCAATTTAGTCAGACTACATCTCAAAACAAAACATGCTAAAAGGGTGGGCTGAGGGGGTGTAGAGCCCAGTGTGAAGGCTCTTCATTCAATCCCCAGTACCAAAAAAACAAAGGAAAAAGATGAAAGCTTGGTTTCACTGTTATTTTAAAAGTCAAATGTTCACTTCATCAGACAAAGAAACTGAAATAGTCAAAGTTTACACAGATAACTTATATACGCATATATGTGTGTGAAGTAGTAGGAATTGAATCCAGGGATGCTCTACCACTGAGCTACCCACCAACACATTTTTCTTTTATTTTTTATTTTGAGACAGGGTCTCACTAAATCCTAGACTGGCCTCAAATTTGAGATCCTTCAGCCCCAGCCTCCCCAGTAACGGGAAGTGCAGGCACACACCACCATGCTCAGCTAAAAATTACTTTTAAAGATGTGTGGTCTTTGTCAAGGCATTGAAGAGTGAATTTTTGAGCTTTTGAATTCATGCGTCAGCTTTTACACACTCTGAGTCCTGCACAGCCAGTTATCAAGAACAACAAAGCAGCACAAATGGAACCCACAACTCGGGCATCCACTCCCTGAAGTGGGTCAAGGGGAACAGAGGAAAGAAAGGGGAAGATCTCTGAGAAAACATACATCGTAGCATCAGTGACTGCATCACACTCTTCTAAGCTTGTATGCCTAAATCGCTAAATATAAGAAAAATGTCCCACAGTATTTCAACATAATCATGATAAGTATTTGATGAAGACCAAGCACAAATTCCAAAACACTTATACTAAGAAAAAACCAAAAAACAGATTATAGCTGCACTAGGAGTCAGAAGAAAAAATTAAAAATGAGATATGAGAGCAGAGGAATCGAACATTTTTTGTTTTCATCTTTACTGTAGCTTACACGATGAGTCTACTGATAGGAGCTATGTTTATGGCTCTATGCTGGACTTTGGAGAAAGCTAAACAACTGAACAATTCAACCTAATTTAAGGTACCCCAAGTTCGAGGCATTGATTTTAAAGTAAAGCCAGCTATTATAAAATATGACGCCTGGATGTGCGTATAAAACTCTTAGGGAAAGGAGTTTTTAGTGGCAAAATAAGCCCAGGCTCCTCTCTGAACACCCTGTCCCTAGAAGTGTGGAAATGCAACCCCTTCTCCAGCTGGCCGGATGCTAGCCCTGGGTTATGTAGCTCTCACCGTGGCTGGAGAAGTTAGGACAGCAATTTCTTCTCCTCCCTCCATGGCACTTCTCTGGAAAGCCTCGGATGAGTCAGTGTCCTTGGACTGCTGCAGTCTAGCTACACAGGACCTCAGACTCAGAGGGATGCACCCTCGCCAGGGTCTCCAGAGTCCCAGGACTAAAGCCCTTAGAATCTCTCTAAAATGTGACACCTAAAAGTCATCACCATCGTGGTTTAACACAGTCCTTGAAACATTAGCTAGAGCAGTCAGTCAAGAGAAACAAAAGGGATACAGACAGAAAAGGCCGAATTCAAGATATCATCATATTTGCAGATGGCATGATCATTTACTTACAAGACCCCAAAACTCGGGCAAAAGACGCCCAGAATTGATAATCAAAATTCAACAGTATACGGGCTGGTGAGATGGCTCAGTGGTCTAAAGCACCTACTTAGAACAAGCTTAGCAAAGCACAGGACCGCAGTTCAATCCCCCAGCACCACATGCCAGCCAGCCCCACCCCCTGGTGGGCTGAGCTGGCCACACACACACACACACACTCTAAATAAATAAATAAATAAATAAATCTTTAAAAAAAAATTCAGCAGTATAGCAGAATATAAAATAACACATAAAAATCAATAGTATTCCAACATACACTAACAATAAGCTCACTGAAAAAGCAATCAGGAAAATACCATTCGCAATAGTATCAAAAATAAATAAATAAATAAATAAAGATTAACCCAACTAAAGAAATTAGGTTAGGTATTAACCTAATTAAGGAAATGAAAGACCACAACAATTAAAATCACATCAGACTGAAAAAAGAAAGAGAGGGCATCAGAAAATGGAAAAATATCTCCATTCCTGAATAGGCAGAACCCACATAATCAAAACAGCTACGCAGTACTTCCACTAAAGCGACACAGAATTAATGCAGTCCCAATCAAAATGCCATTATCATTTCTCACAGAGCTACAAAAAACAATCTTAAAATTTTTACGGAGTCAAAAGAGACTAAGAATAACAAAAGCAATTCTGGGTAACAAAAGCAAAGCAGGTAGTATCACAATCCCAGACTGAAGACTGATTAAAACAGCATGGTACTGCCACAAAAACGGCTTTATGGATCAATGGAAGAAAGCAGAAGCAGAACAACTCAGGCAGATGCACTGGAAGAAAGATGGACTCTTTAATGAACAGTGCTCAGAAAATTGGACACCCACATGCAGAAGTCTGAGTCTAGGCCAGTGACAGCAAACTCTACAGAGCTTTCAATGACACAAGCAGTCTGCTGCAGCAAAAGTGCCATAGGTTCCTGCCACTGGTGTAAACCCACATCTCACACCATGCACTAAACTAAAATCAGAATGGATCAAACATCTAAATATTAAAACAGAAACACTAATCTGCCTGAAAATAACATAGGTACAACTCTTGAAGACACAGATATAGGAAGACTTTATAAGTGGAACTCCAATGGTACAAGAAATAATACTAAGAATCAAAAAAATAGGATCACATCAAATTAAGAATCTGCACAGCAAAGGAAACCACAGAGTGAAGAGACAGCCTACAGAATGGGGGCAAAAACTGGCAGCTGTTCCACGGACAGAGGACTAACACCAAGAATATATAAGCTGCTATTTTCAATAAACCGATAGAAATTAGTATAATTATCTTAACTATCGTGTATGTACATATATGTATATGTGTGTGTGTGTGTGTGTATATATATATATATATATATATATATATATATATATTCCCCTCTCTCTTCCTTTCCTTTCCTTTCCTTTCCTTTCCTTTCCTTTCCTTTCCTTTCCTTTCCTTTCCTTTCCTTTCCTTTCCTTTCCTTTCTCTTCCTTTCCTTTCCTTTCTTTTTCTCCCTTCCCTCATCCCATTTGTTCTTTCCTTTTGAGCAGTTTCTTTACACATATCTGTTGTCCCTTTTGCACCTTATTTACTGTCAGGTTCTTACACTAGGCAGACAATACTTTGAAGACAACAATATGCAATATAAAACAACTGTTGATCTTGGTTTTTGAAATTCTGTATCATTTCCAATTTTTTTATTATTTTTTATTCTCTTTAAAATAAAAAATAAAAAACTCAAAAAAATTATAGACTCCCCTGCAAGGTAAAAGACCCGATCAAAAAAGTGGGCAGCTGAGATGAACAGCTACCTCTCAGAAGTACAAATGGCCAACAAATACACAACAATGCTCATCATCTCTGCCCATCAGAGAAATGCAAATTAAAACTACACAAATAGCATCTTATTCCAGAAAAAAATGGCTATTGTCAAAAAACTAAGAACAAATGCTGGTGAGGATGTAGGGAAGGAAGAAATTCTACTACACTGTTGAGAATGTAAATTAGTACAACACCATGCAAGTCAGTGTGCAGATTCCTCAAAAAACTAAAAACAGAAATTCCATTCGATCTAGCTACTCCACTTCTAGGTATTGTCCCAAAAGAATTAAAATCCTATTACAAGGACATACACTCATGATGATAGCAGCACAATTCCCAATAGCTAGATCGTGGAAACAGCACATATCCATCAACAGACGAATGGATAAGGACAATGCGTTTATACACAATGAAGTACTATGCTGCCAAAAAAGATAAACTTGAGGCATTAGTAGGTAAATGGATACAATTTGAGAACATAATGCTATTAAATAAGTCAAGCACAGAACTCAAATATCACATGGCTTCTCATATATGAGAAACAATATATAGCAGAGAACTTCACCCAAGCTTCTCATGTAGCCTGCTCAGCGGGACCCACTACCCACCTTATTCCCAGTGCTATGGCTTAAACCCAGGGCCTTGCACATGCTAGACAAGTGCTCTGCCACTGACCTACATAACTCTAGTCCCTTTTTTATTTTTTCTTTTTAAGGTAGGGTTTCACAGTGCAACTCAGGCTAACCTGGAACTCACTTTGTAGCCCAGGGAAGCACTGTGCCTCTGAGCTATAACCCCGGCCCGTCAACTCTGTGGCCCAGACTGGTTTTAACTCACAGTGATACATACTCCTGCCTCAACCTTCCAAGTGCTGGGATTATGGACATGAGCCACCACACCCAGCCAACTCCAGCCATTTAAAAATGTTTGTTTATTTAAATGTTTATTTAAAGACAGGGCCTAAATTGCTCAGGCTGACCTAGAACTTGCTATCCTC